AAGCCGCTGTTCCTGGCGATGTATGTGACCGTCGCTTTGGGGATCGTCTTCTCCTCTCTCTTCATCCTCTCCGCTCTCTACAACAATCCTAATAACATCTCATGGTTTCGTTCTTCTTCATCCTCGTCTCCTCCTTTACAGCGTAATTCCCCAAAACCCTTTTCGTCAGCTTGTATAATTCTATTCCAATGTGTTAAAAGTTTGAATCTTTGATGAATTTTCTCAGATTTAGATGCTACTAGTTTGGGAAACACGAGTTATGTATATGTAAATAATAATCCTACTTCAGAGCAAGACACCAAGTCTGCAGGTGGTGTATGGACTGTCCCTGCTGGTAATAAAATGCCCGATTTGAAGGAGTTTAGATTGACCAAGGAGATGGTAGAGAAAAGAACAAAAGATAATGTCATAATTGTGACATTTGGGAATTATGCGTTCATGGACTTTATACTCAACTGGGTCAGACACTTGACTGATCTTAATGTCTTCAACCTTCTTGTAGGTAAAATTTCGAGGACCTTTGTTGTGGTCTTTTCTTGTGATATTATGGAGTGATATGTTATTTTATAATGTTTTTTTAGGTGCAATGGACACTAAATTGTTGGAGGCTTTATATTGGAAAGGTGTTCCGGTTTTTGACATGGGGAGTCATATGAATACTATTGATGTTGGATGGGGGTCACCCACGTTTCATAAAATGGGAAGAGAGAAAGTTTTCCTTATAAATTCCATGCTTCCGTTTGGAGTCGAGTTGCTAATGTGCGACACTGATATGGTTTGGTTAAAGGTATGTTTGATTTTCCATTGGTGGACATCGTAATAGTTATTTCTATAATGTTGATAGTGATATTCTTCAATTTTCTGCATGCATTTATCAGTTAATAATCAGCAGTGTATCTAGGAGACTGACTTGGAAAAAAGCTATCTTGGTATTCACGCCTCCATTAAGTTTAATTGTTATAACTTGTCGTTGGAGGGAGGATCAAATAGTGACTCATCTTATGTGAAATTCTTCATGGAGAGTAGTGAAGGTATCTTATATCCTGCCTTACCAGGATACTGGATGTAGTTTAACTTCATGTGGTCATAGGCCTGCCTGTGTCAATTCTGAAAATACAGTTAACAGGCAGCTATAACCGCATAATTTGTCAAAAACATTATTCTTGACTTCTATAGTAAAGTCTGAAGAATGGGTCCGTATAAAGACAATTTGAGGTTGTTGGAAAGCGAAAAGCGGAGTGAGACAACATGGTGCCGCTTAGGCCTTTTAGGTCTTAAGCAGGAAAAAAATGGCAAGTCAAAATTTTCTAATAGGAACAAAAATTCAATCATGAAAAAAAATCTGAAAAATTATAAAACAAGCAAAATTGGAGGAAAAAAAATTCTACAAATACATGTGATGTTTATAGAGATCTTAAGCATGAAATAGATGGCCAGTAATACTTAGATTCAATCCTGCAACAAAATTCTATACACATTGTAACGTGATAAACCAACATAGTTGTGGACTATGTATGTCAAATAGTCAACTAGTTAATGGCTTAATGTAAATTATCATATCATACATTTTTGGTGGCCTCTTGTGGGTTTAGGGGCCATTTTTGGTTGTTTTTTGTGCCGCATCCGCTTTTGGGAGGGCTTTTTCGAGTGGAAGGCGGCTAAGGATCCGAAATGCTTAAGTGGCCGCTTAAGTGCCACTTTTTACAACACTAAAAGATAAGCTGACAGGATGTACATAGGAAATCACATTTATCTTTGAGGCACAGAATAGAATAGACCACCTGAGTCAAATGGAATTGGATTCAAAGGCTATTATATGGAATTCTTTTAAGTTCTTACTTTTTATTGGCTTCTTGGATGACTACTGATATGATCCCTGCCATAATCTTATTGTAAAGATCACAGAGGTCTTGAATACATTTAATAGTTTTATTGTTTTCATGATAAATTGCAAAAGGAATCTTTTTGCATGAATTTTGTTCTCACCTATATCACATTCATGGAACAGAATCCACTTCCATATCTTGCTCGTTTTCCTGAAGCAGATGTCTTAACATCAAGTGATCAAGTTATACCGACAGTCACTGATGACCGTCTAGAAGTATGGCAGCAAGGTAAATTACTAGAAAACTTAACAAAGGTTTATCTTGTTTTCTTAATCCCTTTTATATTCTCTGTGCACAAATTGCAATAACACTTTTGTTGAGAATTGGAACCTCCCATGTTATTGTTTATCCAAACTATCTGCTGAAACTTGCCTGTGACTGAATTGTGAGAGAGTGCTATGACGTGTTTTACTGAAATTCACTTAAATTCATGTCAACTGTCCACAGTTCCTAAATAATAGGAATCAAAATTTAGGAACATGTCAATCAAACAACAATAATTGTATCTTGTCAATTGGAAACTTCATGAATTTTAACTGTTTGAGTTCGGAAAGCAAATGAATTTACAGGAAAGCATATAAATTTGCCATAATCACTAATAAAGAGGAAGTAAAAGATACTAAAAGACTCAGATCTATATCCTGGATGGTGACTTTCTCTACTAGTTTCTCAAAAATATAAAACATAGAATGTTGGTTGAGGTTTATTACAGTTTCTCGCTTTAAATGGTCAAATAATGTCAATAATGGTTTGTTAAAAGAACCCTGTTTAATAATTTCATGTATATTATGGACTTCTGCCCGTGGCTTAGGGGATTGGTGAAATAGGCATATGCCTTCTGCAGCTTTCAATTTGTCAGTTTGTTCTTTCCATAAGAAACAGAAGGGTAGTGTGGGTTCAAAGCTTGGAATTTTAGTTCTTTAATAATGATCATGACTAGTTTTTCATTTTTTCCTTTCTCCTTTTTCTTTTTCTTTTTGGTTTTGAGAGGAGTCAGAGGAACCGAAATAAGAAAGCATAAAGTTATCATGTCTGTGAGATAGGCAAATATTCGACCTTCTAAGTATTTGCTAACTGTATAATTTTCTTGAAGCCTCTTTTTTTCCGTTTCTTTTACAACTTTCTGATGATTATTCTCAATAAGAAATCAGTTTCGTGGAACTAGTTCTAGATGAGTACATTATGTAGCATGTGAAGACACGCTAATGCTGTGATCGTAGCCATATCCACTACCCCTTAGAATTTTGATCTGGACCATGCGACTTCATTCTTGTTGCATCATGATTCTGTTTGATGAAACTTGCTTTCCGAGGATAATGGTGGTATATCCTCTTGACTCTAGAACTGGATTAAAGGATTTGGATGTTTTGATCATATAATTTGATTACATTGAACATATTATTCTCTTTCTGATTTTTGTGCAAATATCTGTCTAGAGCTGTATACGTGTTAAAGAATCAAGCTGCTTTTATTATCACGCTCCTTAAGTTTGCACGTTTTCGGATTTACATATCACTGCTGCTTGCATAGTTAATGAGATGATATATGCAGCTAAGCCATGTGCAAGGTTATAGAAAGCGCCAGGTGGCCTAAGTGTTTTCTTCTTCTTATTATTATTATTACAATCAATATTATCAAAAGTGCTAGCATCGCTAGGTACCAAACTGGCGCCGCGCTAGCTCTAGGAGGATTTCTTTTTTTGTTTAAGTGGTGATGAAGGAGGTTTTACTGAAGGTCGGAGAAGTTGGACGAGGTTTTCATAGTTGGTAGTGGCGGCCAGAGGAGTTTAAAGGAGGTTAGAGGATATGAAGGCTGCAATGAAGAAAATTATGATCAAGACCTAAGCGGTGTAGTTCACGTAAGCAGTCTCCGCTTCTCTAGGCACTTCCAAGACCTAGGCAGGTGGCCTAGTATCGTGTAATCCTAGGTGGGCCAAGCGGAAGCTTTTTAGAACATTGTATAAAAATCTTATGTAGTTTCTCCGCTTCTTTAGGCACTTCCAAGGCCTAGGCAGGTGGCCTAGTAGTACCACGTAATCCTAGGTGGGCTGGGCGGAAACTTTTTAGAACATTGTATAAAAATCTTAAGTAGTTACTCATCCACACCTAAGCTTTCATAATTTCTATGTATGGAATTATTGTACTCGGTCTCTTTACCTGTACAAAACAAATTTAAGCAAATATTCTGTTAAAGCTAGTACTTGTCCAGTCATTTACCCGACTGTTATTGTATAAAAATAAACAAGCATGACAATTTGGCTTATTTGGCATAAAAATATGCTATGAATGAAACAATGCACATTTCAGATCTGATGTACACCAATACGTTCTCTTGTTGAGGATAGGGGTGTTTGCAAGTCTGTACTGCATGTATTTCTAGGCTGAAAAACTGACAAATCTAATAAAGCATATAATATTTCCTCTTACCACTGGCAGTAACTGGTGCCTACAATATTGGAATTTTCCATTGGCGTCCTACTGATGCATCAAAAAAGCTGGCAAAAGAGTGGAAAGATCTACTTTTAGCTGATGAAACAATTTGGGACCAGAATGGCTTTAATGAACTTGCACACAGAGCTTTGGGGCCGTCTGTGGAGGGAGAAAATGGACTCTTTTATGCGTTTGATGGAAAACTCAAATTGGGAATCCTGCCAGCAAGTATTTTCTGCAGTGGCCACACTTACTTTGTCCAGGTAATAACTTTTAATATCACTTTTCCCTTAATTTAATGTTTCTCTTCTATTCCTGGATATAACCTCCTTGTGTATTCTAATCTTCTCTTTTCCTGAAACTAAAAAAGAAGAAAAAAAAGAAAAAAAGAAAAAAAAGAAAAAAAAGAAAAAGAAGAAAAAAAGAAAAAGAAAATGCTCTTCTTCTTTATTCTGTAATATGTTCATAAGGATATTTTATGCAAATTATACTACTTGGTTCAATGTTTAATTACATTATCTCCATTATACAAAAGAAATAATTAGATTTTGTTTCTCTATTCCGCATTTTTTTCTTTGTTCGTTTCATTTATTATCATAAGTAACTCATGTTTGTGGTGTTTGTTTTTGAATTAATTACTTATGGAACGTTTCTATGTGCCTGATATAAATGAAATTGACAGGCCATGCATCAGCAGTTCAGGCTGCAGCCATATGCAGTTCATACTACTTTCCAGTATTCTGGTACTCCTGGAAAACGACACAGGCTGCGTGAAGCCATGCTTTTCCATGACCCACCAGAATACTATGATTCATCAGGTATGCTTTGCATGTGTGCGCCACATAACAAGCTTAGAATTTTAACTTAATGTATGAATTCTCAAGACAAAAGCAATGCATTGCCGTTGCAGTTATAAGTCGGTTCGATATCAAACGATTCTCTACGATATCTTGTCATATACTAATAGGGGATGATGCAGCCCTTTGTTCTGTAAATCAAGAGAACTTAAGCTTCAGATTGGACTATATATTGTTGCTTGACGTAATGCCTGCAAATTCTGAATGTTTCACAAGTATTTACAGGTGGTTTCTTGTCTTTTAAACCAAGTATTCCAAAGAGCTTGTTGCTAGATGGTCCACATACTGTTGAATCTCATTTCTTATTAGTAAATTACCAAGTAAGCATCATCTATCATTTATATACTGTCGCTTCCTGGAATATAAAGCTTAGCATTGACACCCAACAATTCTTCTCTCAACTTTTCAGTTGAAGCAAATAAGGACTGCGCTTGCGGTAGCATCATTGTTGAACCGGACACTGGTAAGTGCCATTTTGATATCGTTAATCCTACAGTTATTTGTCATTTATGGATTTCAAATGAAAAGTGATATAGACAAAAGAGTATATGGTCTGAAGATATCTGATCCATTCATTCAATAGTTGAAAACTGAATAGCTATTAAGATAAAATGAAAGGACCAAATAGACGATGGCAAAAACACTTTCAAAATGCACAAATTTTGTCTATACATTTTATGATATGCTAAATGAAATAAACAAGTGAATCATCCATTTGGATGACCCATCATTAAGTTTGAAGGGACGAACAAGTTTTAAGTTTCTTCCTAGGAACTATAAGGCTTTGAAGACCCATACTAACTGATACACACAAATCCAACATGGGTGCATTTGTAATTACCTCTACCAAGTGTAAATAATAGTGCCGGTAAATCCAACATGGTGGAGATAAAAATTATTCACACTATCTTTACTTGGATAAATCTCAATAATATCCAACCCAATTCAGGCTAATGCAGTAAACAAAGTATCGCTTGTCCCACATAGTCACAGACTCATACAAGCAGTTATCGACCCTACCAGAGCAATTTCCTTAAAAGATCACTACATATATAACCTAGCAAAATGACCCAAGACAAAGATATAGAGGATCATCTACGTACAAACTTATATACATATATACAGTTGCATAATTCCTTGGACCCTCCTCGAGCTGTCATCATACAATTCGTGAGGAGCCGTCATTGTACAATTCTTACGAATCGAATCCCTTAGATACACGAATTGGCTCCCCAAAATTGGCGTACTGCTTAGGCGCTTACGAATATGTGGCACAAAGTCTCTTAAAGTGCACCTGTGCAATACACAATGCAGTGTGCACAATTGAGTGGAGGGAGGCGCACAATAGAATATATGAATTAATGACTTTACTGTTAACTAAATACATATGGAGTTCATTTTTTTTCTGTTTTTTTTCACATAGTTCGTGGTAGGATCATTGTTTCTTGGAAAATGGTAAGCACACCCAAAAAGAATTGTGATCTACCATTGACCGAACTTGCATATTGAAGCAAACTATCCCCTTAAATCCAAATTTTCTAAGCGCCGAATTGCATAGCCGAATTCGTACCATGACCTACGTACCTCGTACTTTGTAACTATTACATATCTATCTTGTAAGAGAGATGACCATGAAATTTCTTGGCTTCACTCCTCTCTTTGATCTCAGCCTGTGATAGCAAAAGGGCGAAGATGTGAGAGAGAAGAGGAAAGGAGAGGAGAAACAAGATGGTGATAAATGACTGGAGAGAGAAGTAAGGGTTGTTATGGGGGATTCATGGCTAGGATTATTTCTATTAGTATAGTGGGATTTATTGGTGGTTAGGAATAATGTTTAGTGGAGATTGATGGAATTTGCAGAAATGCAAATGTCTAAGGGATTCTGCTAATTTCTATATTGGCTTAGTTTAGTAAGCACTAAGCACTATGTGCATGTATAATATCATCCTAATTAACTCGTTGCAAATTGAAATATTTAATTATATAAATGGTTTTAGTTAAAAGTTTTAGTTAGTTTTCCATTGGTCTCAAATTCCAAGAGTTGCCAGGATCTCCAATATAAAATTATTGCACTCCGGTAACCATTAACGTGGAGTACGGTACACTACACTGACCAACTGACCAGATGTGTTACCGTCGTCCGTCGATTAATGCTAATTTGACCTGGCCGCAATCTTGAGATTCTATACAAGGTTTTAAAACAAAATGAAAAACGTAGAAATCCCCTGTATTGTTTACCGAAGAAAAATACATTTGCATCAGTATAAAAAGCCAACATATACTAATGCTAAAAGTGAGATGCATTCTAAAGAATATGTAGCAGTACATTAGCCTCAGACTTGGTACCACAAATTAATAGCATGTAATGCATGCTTAGTTTCTCATTTCACATCCATTGCTTTTATGCATTTCTAAATCTGTAAACTGACTTTCTTGTTATTTCTAGGTAATGCCTCCGTTATGGTGCAGGTTTGACAGGATGTGGTTTGGACATCCTGGAATTATGGAAGGAACAATAACCAGACAACCTTTTCTCTGTCCTATGGACCATGTGTTTGAGGTATTCTCTCTTTTTTATTTTCTTGAAAATCTACCGAAAATATTCGTTATTAAGATTTCATTCATCTCATGCATTAAAAGGTTAATTACCTAAGGACTCACACATCTATGTTCTATTGCCTGAGGCCCTCAATAGTGCTTATAGGCATGGCTGATTAGCTCAATATAAATTATGATACTTTTTGGTGACAAGCTTCACACTTAAGTTCTAGTTTAAAGAGCCTTCATCAGCTTCTCCAAGTTTTCGTTCTTTTTTTATTCTCTTTCATCAGATCTCCCTGTGGCTTTGTCACGTCTCTTTAACATTTTTTTCTTAATTAACCATATCTGTCCTGAAATGTAATGACTACTTGTCCGCTATTTCACACCATATGAAATTTCAATATATATTACTGGGCATATAAATGTTCCTATGTTTACAAAATCTAGTAAAGCATTTGGATATGATGGTGTTTAGTGTTTCCATGGTGTTTTTGCCAAAAACAAAACACCATGTGTTTGGAAACCAGAGTATTTTTGTTAGGCTACAATATCAAAAACCAAAAACACAACTCATTTCAAAACACCAAAAAGGTGTTTCAAGTTTAGTGTTTGTGTTTTGAGTTTCAAGGGTGTTAATATAATGTCTAACATAATGTATTAATAATAATATACTTAATATAACATATTCGTTACAATAATATAATATAATATTAAATTATATTATTTAATATGCTACATTATAACATTAGTTTCCGAATATATCAATATTATGTTTAATACCATTGATTAATAATACATATAATATTATAATTAATATAATATAACAATTATATTTCAAATAGTATTATATATATTATATTAATAGTAAATAATAATAAATTAGATATATTGATAAAAATATAGTAATAAAATAAAAATATATTTTATTTGTTACATAATATAGTATAATATTAAATTATATTATATTATTTAAACAAATTACATTATAATTTTATTTTCCAGATATATCAATACCTATGTTGAACACCATTTATTAATAATACGTATAATATTATAAAAATAATATAATATAATATTTATAGTTTAAATACTATTATATATATTAAATTAATAGCAAAATAATAATAAAGAAATATAATTGATAATATTATTAATAAATAATCCTATAAGTAATGATCATAATATTGAATTGATATAACAAAAGTAGTCTATTATATTATTTAATTAATAAAATATATTATTAATGTAATTAATAATATATTATATAAATATTTTTTTTTTTTTTTTTTTTTATTAAAATTTTTTAATATGTTATTAATAAGTAATATTTAATAATAAAATAATAACATTCTATAAGAATAAAAGATTTAAATATTAATATGTTATTATATGCACTAAATATTATATCTAAATAATAATTCACTACGATTATTACAATAAATGATAGATAATACTATATATAAAAGTAAATGAACTTCATCAATGATGAATCTACCAAAGATTAATATAATAATATATAATATAATAATAATATAATATTATATTATAAAAAGAAGATGTTAATACATTATTATTTATAAAGATAAAAATAATTAAATATATTAATATTTGAAAATAATATTTAAGTATTATAATATAATACATATTATAAATATGTACATTATATAACATTATAATATATTAGTTAAAGTAGATTGTATTATAATTAATATTTAATGTATTAATAATATGTTTAATATTAATGTTATAAAAGGTCAAACTATTGTTCACCAAAAACACTTGTCATGGTGTTTCGAAAACACTTTTGAAGAAAAACACCATACCAGAATCTCCATGATATCCAAACCCTGGCTTATTCATAATTTCATATAATGTTATTAGTGTGATGTCTCAAAATCTCGTGTTTAGCCTGAGATATCCTGAAATCTTGTGTCTATAATATATTTGTACATGACCAATAATATAACACCAGTTATGTGCACTTAAGTGTTAATCCAAATGAAAACGATATCTCATTTCACCATCTTCTGACAAGTTCTTATTATAATGATCCATAATTGAACATCAAAATTGTTCGTAGTTATGTTCTTGTACCAATTCTCCGTAACTAAATAACTTTAAATGGCTTACTGAAGAATTCCCCCGTCACACAAAATCTGGATCTAAATGCTACCTGGCAAAGTTTGAAAATGAATGGGACGGGCCATCCAGTTAAGTAGTTTCACATATATACATATATAGGGGATGTTAACCGGCAGCTTACTTGCCAAAATGAGCTACAAAGAATGTGAGTGGTGAGCTCCACTACATTTGATGTGACTAATAAGACTAGTCTCATCATATTCCATCTCTTGATAGATCATTGTGAGACTGACTTCATGCCCATTTTTCCTTACACTGTAGACTTAAAAACAAAGACAAAACAATATTCAAACCAGAATGGGTTATCTACTTATACAAAATTCTGACAAGTATTATTTTTAGTTTTTAGTTTTTGTTTTTTTTACTAAAGCCATCAACGAAGGGCGGGGGGTTTGGCGTGGGCGCCTACCAGTGCATTATTGAAAAATTAACAACACAAGAGTAATGGGGAGGACATAAACCTTACCCCTAAAACAAAGTAAATAAATACAATTATGAATTTTTATGAGTCCTATAGAACTATCAGCCATTCTGATCCTTATGGAGAGCTGATTTGCATTGATGCGGGAGATCCTGCCCATAAGAGAAGATCTGTCTGGAGTGATGAGAGAAAGCAAAATCTGCTATTCTGACAAGTAACTTTTAGTTAATAAGATGAGGTGTGGCATAGTTAATACGTCTTCCAAAATAGCTAATGACAAGAATTTTTTAAAAAATCTTAATTACAAAACATTCGGCTGTCATGGATACCTGTAAGGGACTGAGATCAATATACAATAAGATACCAGTATACCACAAAGAGCCAGAATCCTGGTGACAAATGGCATGTAGGACAGAATCTGGATAAATTGCCAAAAGCCAGAATCCATCCTGAAGGATGGTTTTGCTATTAGGATTGATTGATTAATCAATATTGATATTGAGCATTAGTGATTGATTGAGAGTTGAGCATGGCTTCTTTAGTTTTTCTTATCTGGTTTCCCATCCTTCCCCTTCTTCCTCAAATTTCTTCTCCTTCATAGCATTACTGATTTGGCATAATTTTTAAAAGATCAGGAGCTTTGAAACCTCCACCTTGGTAAGCTTTTAGCCAAGAAATTATAGTGGCCATGTTCATCTATACCTCTCAGTTGGGTCCATAGTCTTCACCCAAGCTTAATTCCTGCCAAAAGTCTTATTGTTTATGCATTCAAGTAGTAATTGAAAAGACTACAGATTCTCCAAAGAATGCTGCTGTACTCCATGATGATAATACATGTTCAATGGTTTTTTATGGGGCTGAGCAAGAGTATCATATATCCGAGAATGGTTCTGTGAAGTTGGACCTACAGATACATCCAGAAATAAGAATCTAGAATTAGGTGTGTACCCAGGGGTATGAAGAGGTGGGAGAGGATGAAAGCAACAGGAAGAAGATTGAAGAGGGCCTGGAGAAATGAGTGGAGCATTAATCAGGCATTACTTTTGGATTTTGTTTATTTATTTATTTATTTATTTTTTGTGTGGTATGTTTACTCTGTGCTTTGTCCTTTGACTATCCTGCTCGTCTTAACCAATGAAATAATTCCAAAGAATCTAAATGTTAGCACATGAACAAAGGCAAATTATCACGATTCTTGTTTAAGTTTCATAAACTTTTCTATTAAAAATCATTAAACGTTTAGAAAAAAAAAGGCTATTCTTCTGCTATTTTTGTTGCTCTAATACTTGTTTGGCTTGGTATTTGCATTTGACGTGACTCAAATATGAAGGTGAATGTTATGCTGCAAGAACTTCCTGAGGTAGAATTTGGAGCTCAAATTGATTTCAGAGAGTATTCCTTCCTTCAGAACCCAAGGGTATCTAAGCAGGTAACCTAAAGCTCTGGAACCAACACTCGTTTTGTTTATTTATGTTCTCTAAATGGTTTTCTTTCTATTGGCTTTCCTTTCTATTGGGTTCAGGTTAAGGACTCATTTCTGGAAGTTCAGCTTTGTGACAAGCAGTCAACAAAGTGCCATGTAGCAAATGAAACAATTGGAAAAGGAGCTCTAAGATTTCCTAAGCATAGCACTGAAGAAATGGTAATATATCTATTCATGTGGTGCTGCAAAGATTTGAATAAGCATTCTTTACATGGTTAAATCGGCTATATCATTTATGGTTCCTCTTTTTAAAAGTAGTGTGCAGCATTCATTATTAGTTCACTATATAATTGACTTATAAAGTTACACATTTTTGATATGATAATGTTCAATTTGAACCAATTACTGACATAACATGTGGATGATGGATGATTCCATGTGTATACCATGTAAAATCTGCTTAACTTTACTCCACTTCATGCTTATATTATAATGAGATCTGTGATGCCTTGTAACGGGTATTCCATTCACCTTTGTCAATCTCCTTGACTAGTATTTGTTGCCTATTGTATCATTATCGCTGTAATTTCCACATACGTTGATTGCTTACTGCATGTATGTCTCCATATTAGATTTTCGAAGGTCACCATGCTGGAAAGTTTAGGAAACTTAGCACTTGACACCCCTGTCCCGCATCAGTTTGTTGCAGATTCTTATGTTCAAAAGATCTAACTTTTAGTGCTTGGTATGAGAAGCGCCCTTGTGCACATTCTTTGGGCTATTCAGTTAGAACATTGTAAACATCTTATTTGCATTAGTTACATTAACTCAAGATGCATGTCCTTGCTCTCCTTACTTATCAAAAGCTGTTAACAGTGAGCAATAAAACTGTACCTGACTAAAGTAAATTATTCTACCTTCCAGTTCATGGAAGTATTCTCTTCATACAAGGATGTCAAGGTCATTGAGTTCTCATCCATGCAAGATGCCTTCCAAGGATTTATAGACAAGGCAAGATCATCTCTTTGTTGTCTATTTTCTGCAGTCACTGTAATATTTTTTTTTAACATAGAATTTGCTTAGCTTTTCTTCAGGAAAGAGAAACCAAGTTTCGGAATCGTGTGAAGCGATATGTGGGAATATGGTGTTGTGTGGAAACTCATGACCCCGGTCACATATACTATGACATGTATTGGGATGAAAAACCTGGATGGAAACCGGAGCCCCCAAAAACCAGGGAGGATGATCATCCACCTTGGTAGAAAGATCTACTATGTTTTGGACAGAAATTTATACAATGTCAGATTCCTAACCTCCAGTTTTTGGATGTCATATATATTTGAGATGTACCATTGATGATAGTTTTCGAGGAAAAGGATGACTTAAGAATCTTTCTTTTGTTGTAATATGTACAAATATACAGATTTCGACACAGTACTGACCTACAAATGATTGAACATTATACCTTGCCGGCTCACCCTGTTCTGCTGGGTTGCCTTTCCATTTCTTCAGAACTATAATATGGTTTTGAAGGATATGTTAAGGACTTGCTAATTTATTTTAAATTTTTCTGGAGAACCTCGACTTATTTCAGTTAGATTTCTGCATGTGTATGTATACACTCTCTTTTAACAAATTTGCAGTCTCTTTGGTTGCTGAACTTGCTAACTTTTTCTCTTTCCAGACCTACGTTCTCAAACATGTTGTCACAGGACTTGCACGGGACTTGAGCACTACAGGGCCTCCTGTTTATTGAAACGAATTATCTTTTTGGGGAAGGGGAAAAAACTACCGTTTTATATTTAAACTAATTTACCATTCGAATTGTGGGGTGTGTTTGGCAATTAAGTAAAAAATGGGCCAAGTTCGATCTTGGTCTAGTTTTTCTTTTAATCAGTTTGGAGTTGGATCAAGTGGGTGTTGGTCCGATGCGAAATTAGTTTTGCGACTTCTTTTTGGTTTAAGAAATATTGGGTCATAACTCGTCTAGATTTTTGCTAATCACAAATAAATTTAAAATTGGGTCAGGTTCAGCCCTAGTAAAAACGACAAGTAATCTTAGCTGGTAAGTCTAGCACCATTGATTTGATTCGAAACGGCATGAATCCAGTTTTCTTCGACCTCCTTAAAAGCCACCACACAAACTGGGAGTAATTGCATTTTTTATGTTGCCTGACCCGTATTTACGTTAGTGCTAGATCAATATCGTCGTTTCCCGGAACACTTGAAAAATCTACTTATATGGTGCTCCATTGATCTCTTCGTCTCAAGAAACCAAACCGTTAAACATTTAAGGTTACGATGGCTAAGATTGTACCTCGGGCACTGGGTCCACTGCTGCTCCTTTCCAAGCCAGAGCTCAATGCAACCCTGGTAGAGCACGTGACTGGAAGAGCACGTGACAATTGCGAAGTACTGAGGATGATTCAGAGTGCTGCAAGGAAAAGGCCGGCATTCTATTGCTCGCCACTCGTGACTCTCGACAGAAAAGCGCCTGCATGACGAGCTTTGCTATAGGGACCCAAAATATGAGACCAACAGGGGGGACAGATGATGTGTCCCCCTTTTATTTCATAATGAGCTGGCCATCATTAATGATGACCAGCTCATTATGCAATAGAATGAAGACACCTCACCTGCCCTCTCTGTTGGTCCTATATTTTGGGTTATTGGAGAAATTTTTTTTCGTAATTAAGGATTGACTGCAATTAAAGCTCATGTGTACATCAAACCCACCATTTTTTAATTGTCCCTAATTTAACACTTAAGAACAACAAAATGCACATAAATCTTTTCTATCTTTAACTTCCCTCCAAAATGATTAAAAAAAACAAAACTCAATTTATTTTCATTTTTATTGAAAAAAATTTAAAATTAAAGAAGCGCGCCATCTATGAGGAAAAAAGTAGTTCAAACCCCCTATAGCTTCAAGGTGTGTGTAATATAATTTTAATTTTCTACTAACTTTTTATGTTAAATAAGCATTTTTATGTTTTTTTATTTGTTTTAACGGTTTTTCTATCGAGTGCCCTTGGGTACCCGATAAGAAAAACAAATATCATTAGTTATGCCTCTTTCCAAAGTACTAATTAATGTAGTAATTAATTATTCCCTTACTAATTAATTAGGGGTTGTTTGGTTGTATGTTTTTACCATGGAAAAGGATGTAAAGTGTAAAAAAGTGGGTCCCAATGTCAGCTTTCATCACTTTCAATTGTTTGTTTGTAGTTGTGAAAATAGTGTAAAGTGATTTGATATGCTGATGTGGCTTGTAAAGTGATTTCATGAAAAAAAGACATGATTTTAGGAGAAAGCTAACATTGAAGTTAGGAAAAAATAATAAAAAATAATTCCAACCAATAAGATCATTTGAGTAGGGACCACTTTTTACACTTTCCAAACAAACAATTAAAATTTCATTTTGCAAACCAAACAAGTGTTTTATGATTCCAATGGAATAAAAAACAAACAAAGAAAAGTATAAAAGTAAAATTGACGAGGTGGACAACAACTTTCCAAGTTGTGTCATAAATACACAACTTTACCAACAACAACCAAACAGCCCCTTATCCGTTTTTCTATCGAGTGCCCTTGGGCACCCCATAAGAAAAATAAATGTCATTAATTATGCCTTCTTCCAATGTACTAATTAATATAGTAATTAATTATTCCCCTACTAATTAATTATTCCTCTTCAATGAAATAACTCCCCACCGATTGATGTACCACAATTTTTTCCCCAGGTTTTTTCCCGGGTTTATCTTCTACCAAATTACTGTAAATCCAATAGATTATTATCCATTGAAGAGGAAGCTTGTTATCTATTTTATTTTTTATATATTTTGTTACTTTTAATTTATATTTCTTGTTTTTTATGTAATAGATGGATGAAGCTTCAATGACAAGTGGTTCTAATAGAGGTATTGTCACAAAGTTCTTCGATTTGAATGAATTGCCAGAGAATGATGATTGTGAGTTACATCAAGTTGAGAAATTAGATTTAGAAGATGAAAGTAGAGAACATATCATGAATATTTTCTTTGAGCCTTTTGTTGGTCAATGTTTTTTAAGTGAAGAGAAGGCTTTTGTTTACTACAAGGGATATGCAAAAGCTCAAGGCTTTTTAATTCGAAAAGGTAGATTTGATAAGAATAAAGATGGAGAAATAAGTATGCGTGGTTTTTGTTGGCCTTCTTGTTTTGATGATGATTTACAAACAATTTACTACTAATGTTGTTTGTCTAGTGTTTGTGCATTCCTATGTTTTGTAGACAAACAACGTAGTTGGAGGATGGATGGAATAGAGCTTCAACGATGATATCCAATGGAGGTTGGCGGAATGTCGGTGAAGCCTTGCTATTCAAAGTTCAAGATCCAAGTTCAAGCTCCATCCGTGAGATTACCAAGTCAAGCTTATTGAAGATCAAGATCATTGCTTGGGTAATTTAGTTTAGGGTTTATGTCAAAACATCAAAATTCAAGTATATCATATTTTTATGTTTTGGACTATTTTGTAAAATAATGATATTTTTCATTTGGGAGGTCCTTTCTGATAACCAGTCACTGTAGCATGTTTATTATCATGTCTACAATCATTCCCCAAAGTTTTACATTTTTTAGAATTTATTTGATATTTTTAAACAGTGTTTCAAAATTAGATATACAACTTTCAAAACCTGTTTTTTATGTATCAGTATTCGGTCGACCGCACCGGTCGACCGATCATTTGATCTTTTATCACTGGGCGACAGAGAGTATGTCGGTCGACCGGTCCGGTCGACCGAAAGCTCCATCGGTCGACCGCACCGGTCGACCGACGATGGTCCAGATCGTTTCTTCGGGTTTTTGCTCTCCGTCGGTCGACCGATAGAATTTCCGGTCGACCGCCCA